CGGGCTGGAAATTCGGGGTGGGGGTCCGAGCCAGGGCCCTGGGGTCGCCCTTCCCACCAGACAGCAACACGCATGACAAGAGGAAGCAGGAGGGGAGGGGCCTCGGGCGGACAGGGCGGGTCCTGACGGCTGCGGGGTCAGCACAGCCTCCGCTAGAGCCTCCAGTGGGATGAGAGTCCTCCACACACGTGCGGGAGAGGTAGGCCTTCTCGTCCCCACAGCAGTCACTTTCCGGACAAAAGGAGACGGAAACGCGGACACTCATGTAATGTTCCTGCAAACGCCTGGACCACCAGACACTGAGAGCTCCTCCTCGGCACTCTCGACAAACGCCTGTGCAGTCCTGGGCGGGCAGCTGGGGCTGCCCCCAACCCTGCATCCCCACTTCATGGGGCCTTTTAGTTAAATCAACAGTAAACACATTATGAGTTGCCATTTAAATGACTGAAAAATCATAGCTCTAAAAAGTTAATGTGAGGAGCTGGCCCAGTGGCATAGTGGTTAAGTTCGAGCATTCCATTTTGGCAGCCCGGAGTTTGTGGGTTCAAATCCTGGCACGAACCTACACATCGCTCATCAAGCCATGCTGTGGCAGGCGTCTCACATACAAAAATAGAGGAAGATGGGCACAGATGTTAGCTCAGGGCCCATCTTCCTCAGCAAAAAAAAAAAAAAAAAAAAAAAAAATGTTAAATGTGGAGGAAGCTCACTCTCAGCATCAGGAAGGTGCTTTTCATACAAGGACAGAAACTTCACCCCAAATCACATTCCTGGAGACAGGACAAGGCCAGGAGAAAACCTTCTTCTCTCAAATGTGTCCGATCCAAGGAGGCCTTACAAGGAACCTGCAACACATGCCACCTCTGCACCTCCACACACCCAAGTCAAAAACAGAGGAGAAGGAGAGGAAGGTATGAGGGGCTTTTCCTAAGATACACGCTCCAGGATCAGCAGAAACCCCGCAGACACAAGTCAGTGCCGGCCCGGGGAGCATGGTCGGAGCCTGGTGGGATCAGGAGGAAGGACATGTGTGTCCCCTCCTCTTTCTCAAATGTCCCATCTACACTGGGGCTCAGTTGGAAGACAGACAATGCTTGGCAGAAGCAGTGGGCTCCGGGCTGGCCCCGTGGTTTAGCGGTTAAGTGTGTGCGCTCCGCTACTGGCGGCCCAGGTTTGGATCCCGGGTGCGCACCAACGCACCGCTTGTCCAGCCATGCTGAGGCCGTGTCCCACATACAGCAACTAGAAGGATGTGCAACTATGACATACAACTATCTACTGGGGCTTTGGGGAAGAAAAGGAGGATTGGCAATAGATGTTAGCTCAGAGCCGGTCTTCCTCAGCAAAAAGAGGAGGATTAGCATGGATGTTAGCTCAGGGCTGATCTTCCTCACAAAAAAATTAAAAAAAAAAAAAAAAGAAGCAGTGGGCTCCAACTGATGCCCCTAGAGGCTGTTGGGGGCTCCCGCTGGAGCGCCGCATCCCCCAGACTGGGCGCAAGGCCCCGTGGCACTGACCAGCCACTTGCCAGGCCACGGAGCCCTATGGCTCTCTGGAGCTCAGACATCAGACATGGGTTCTTTATCCTCCACAGTGACTTTGCCAAATGAATGGTCACATCTCAAGGGTAAGCTGAGCCTGGAGGAAACTGGGGAGACACGAGACCCTGCTCCGGAAGTCAGCCTCTCCACACGGTGAGCAGGGAGCAGCTGCTTCCTCGGAGGCAACGACTCAACTCCAGGGTGTGGTGGGCTGACGACTGCCCAAGTTGGTGGCCTGGTCCACTGGCACTCCCCCACCTGTCACTCAGGCTTGTCCACTTCCTTCCACCCTCGCAGCCGCCATCTGAGTCTGGCAGAGGCCTCCAGGCCCGTCTTCTGCCTTGGGCTCTGCCCTTCTAGCAGAAGCCACTTAAGACTGTCAGCTGAATCTTAAAGCACCATCTTCTTCATGCAGCCTTCACACACGGCCTCCCCACCACTCTTTCCCCTGCTTTGGAATTCCCAGGAGACGTGTTCAGACAGCATTCCTTCTTTGTGTCTCTAAACCTCTCTCACACTCCCCACTTCTTTGTGTCTCTGGGGGACATTTGAAATTGACCTTCTGGTTTACCAGTTTTCCCTTCAGCTACGTGTAATCAGCTGCAAGTTCAATTCATCAACTGAGTGTTTCATTTAAATTCTTGTGTTCTTCATTTCTGGAAGTTCTGTTGGGTTCTTTCCCAAATTGGTTCAGTCATTCTTTATCATTTCTCATCCTGCTCATGTTTTTAATCTCGTCTCTTATTAAAGTCCTTCAACTTTGGGGGCCAGCCCAGTGGCACAAGCGGTTAAGTGCATGTGCTCTGCTGTGGCAGCCCGGGGTTCGCCGGTTCGGATCCCCGGCACGCACCAACGCACCGCTTGTCCAGCCATGCTGTGGCGGCATCCCATATAAAGTGGAGGAAGATGGGCACGGATGTTAGCCCAGGGCCAGTCTTCCTCAGCAAAAAGAGAGGAGGATTGGCAGATGTTAGCACAGGGCTGATCTTCCTCACAAAAAAAAAAGTCATTCAACTTTGTTAGCTGACGTTCTGCAAACTCGCAGGTCTGATTCTGCTGTTTACTGCTTCTCTTGGAGAATGCACATGATGCTTTATTTCTGGTGTTCCTTGTGTATTTTCTCCTCTAAGCTCACGTTCCTTGGAAATTTATTTAGAATATTCTGAGATCTGGGTCGACAAAGATGCTTGGATTTGCTCTGACTGGCACATCGCTGCCTCAGTGGATGTTACGAATCCAGAACTACACGAATGTACACACAGGATTGAGGTTTTTGGGCCATAGATGTGTGGATTCCAGCTGCAAACTCACTAGAGAGCCAGTTTTTCGTTTCGAATATTTAGCAGCAAGTGGAGGCAGCAGTTTTCCTTGCTAAGCTCTCTTATGGGGAGAGTTCATCTGTCTTTTGCTTTTACACTACAGGGGGAGCTTTGGGGCCACCAGCTTGGAAGGCCCATTGGTGTGAACACAGTTTCTGCCTCAATACTTAATGGCCACATACACCCATACTTGTTAAGCTCTTGGGATTATTTTGTGCAGGTTTGTCTCTTTCTTTGCTGTCAGTTTTAACTTTCTGCTTAGAGCACCTCTCTCCTTATCTGGCATGTTAGATAAGCACTCAATAAATATTCACTGAGCTAATGAATAAACTAATAAACGAAAAATAACTGAGCTTATTAAAACTGTCTGTAGGGAAAGTGTGAATCATCAGTGAAGGGGGAGAAGCTCCGACGAGTTGAGAGCGTTGCCTCAGCACACTCACCAGAGGTAACGGCTTCTGAAGACAGCGTCTTGGGCGCTTCCACCTGATTCCAGATGCGTCACAGGTGGGCAGCGTTACTACATCATGATTTTTATAGCTCTCAGCCTCCCTTTCCTGCCCCAGAAGCGCGTTTTCTAGGGCCACCGAAACCAGAAACCATCATTTCTATTTCGAAACTTGTCTGAAATATTTTGAAGACAACGGTCCCCATTTCTCAACCTCACCTAAACAGAGGTTCCCAAATACATTCCCTTCCCAGAGAGCTCCGTTCAGCAGGTCTGGGGAGAGCCCAGCCTCACAGAGACTGACTAATTCTACAGGTTTACAACCCTCGGCCTCAGACATCAACTGTTTAAACAGAGAAGGGATTTTCCTCAATTAGGCTCACAGAAATCACCCTGGAACTGACAGTAACATCTTATCCTATCGTCAACTTCCCCACCCACCCTGAAGCCAGACCTGACCCCTGACAAACTCCTCAGTCTTCCCATTTTTCTTCAACAATTATGTCAGAGAACCTGGAGAATGCATTCAAGTGAAACAAGCACCAGCCCGTGGCCCAAGAGCAGCCCTGCCAGCACTGGCGGCAACGGGGTGGACGGAGAATGGAATGCACCTCCTCTCAGGGCAGCAGAACCTGAACAGCTTTCTAGAAACTAAACTCGTTCAGTCATCAGAATGTGCTGTTCGTCCCACTCAGAAGCAGCAAGGGGCATGGATATAATTCATCTTCTCAAAGTGTTCTCAACCTCAAAAGAGCTGTTTGGATGGACCCACACAGCCCACGATTCCAGCCCAAAGGTGGAGAGGCGGGCTGCACAGGGACCCTTCGCTCCCTTCACCACTCACTGTAAACAGCTCGAGCAGGACTCCACTACCGGCTTCAGCGCTGCACCGACTACAAACCACTCACCCCACCCCCACCCCCGCTAGCGCTGCACAGGGGCGTCCTGCCACCTCACTACACGCATTTCTGGTTTCTCTCTTCCGGCGCCCTAGGTCAACTGCTGTGACTTTCGGTGCTGTCACTTCCTACCCTCGGGGTGTGGTCCTGGTCCAGGTCCAGCGCCCGGGAGCTTGTGAGAAATGCAGACTACGGCCCCACCAGAGGCGTCCGGACCCCTGTGTTTAACAGCCTTCAGTGAATCTCAGGGAAGCTGATGTGGAGAAGCACTGATGACCTCATCACACAGCACACTCCTCAGGCCTCATACCTGTGAGTGCTGCTCTTTCTTACAGGACCCCTCTCTTCCTCCAACTCCAGCAACGAGTGTGTTCTCAGTCTCCTACCTCGGTGAATGGTTGCCTCCATGCCCTTGCGGGCAGGCCTCTGGAAAGATTTAAAGGAAGGTGGTAGAAAAAGCTTTCCAAACATTTATCCTCTCGAAATCCCTGATCTGTCCTCCTTTGTTGTCGAACACACTTTGCAGCTCATCTCTAATTAGAAAGAACTCAACCGAGTCTCCAGAGGCAAACCACGGTCACACTGTGTGCCGGTCCCCTCCAGTCCAGGAGCATTCAGGGACATTAGGGCAGCACGGAGGCTCAGGCTGTCACCGCCCCGGATGCAGAGCCACGTGAATACTGCCGCTCCCACCCGAACTGAGCGACACAGAAAACACAAGACGACACGTGTGTTCAGGACACTTTCCACATGGAAGACACGTTAGGGTCAGAAAAAGCAACAGCGCCGTTACCAGAGCGACTTCTCCACAATCTTGGTCCTGAAAACCTCCTCCTGGTCCAGGTTCACGGTGCAGTAGCAGTCCCGCATCTTGTTGGGCCCTGGGTAGCTGGGCAGATTCTTGGCTTCACCTGAAAAGCAAATGTACCTATATCACCAACTCACACAGGATTGGTCAGTCCCCTCGCTCATCACAGACCCACTTCCAACATAGATTCACCTCACAGCAATGCACCTGCTGGCACCTCGTGCACTCACTCAATCCTCACAAGGCCGTGGCCTTCTGCTACCACAGTCTAAATATGAGGAGAATCCCGCTTGCGCTGAAAAGTGGGAGGTGACACACGAACCTCAACAACCAGAGGACGGGGTGGGCTCCACCGGCTGGGAATCAAGGGTTGTTTACCACACGAGTCCCTTTAATTTTTTTTAATGTTTAAATTATGGTAAGATATATATAATTAAAATTTATCATCTTAACCAGTTTTAAGTGCACAGTTAGTATATTAAACACATTCACACTGTTGTGCAACCATCCCCTCCATTCATCTCCAAAATGTTCTCATCTTCCCAAACTGAAACTCTGTCCCCAGGAAACACTCACCCCCCGACCCCCGGGCCCCAGCACCACCGTCTACTTTCTGTCTCTATGGATGTGACGGCTCTAGAGACCTCATGGGAGTGGGATCCCACAGCATTTGTCCCCTTGTGACTGGCTCATCTCACTCAGCACAGCGTCCCCACGGTCCATCCACGTTGTAGCAGGGGTCCACCTCCTTCCTCTTCAAGGCTGAATGATATTCTGCTGTGTGGATGGACCGCATGTTCCTCACCCATCCATCCCCAGATCCCTTTTTATTTTGAATTTAATTTGATAGCATTAAGTCAAAGTTGCAGCAATAATTAAGGAGAAGGACTCTTTTTTATCAACAAGAGTAAACTATGAACTCCAGCTGCTTAAAACACAAAGCAATTAGCCAGTGAGGGAAAAGTCAGAAGGAGACACCTGCTCCAGGTGACCGTCTCCCTCCCACAAGCCCCTTCTCAGCACAGCAGCCCAGGGAGCATCGAAGCATGTTTGGAGAAAAGGGAGGAAGCTCCACGCAGCCAGCATGCCGGGCCAGCCCTGCAGAAAATGCCCACGATGTCACAACTCCACACGTGACCCTGGGTCTGTCTAGAGATTGTTATCAAAGCCACACTGCGGGCCTCCTCTGCTGGAGGCTGGGAGCAGGCAGGCAGTCACGGCTCCCTCGTGCACTGTGAGTGAGCAGGGGAGACGATGCCCAGGGGAAGTGCGCTCCATGGAGGGAATGCCTCGGACATTTAGAACATCGAGGCCGTCCGTGCCTTCTGCTCCTTTTGGCTCTAGGGACACTGGCCCTGGGCGTCCGCAGGCACCAGACGCAGTCCTGGGAGAGGACAGGCCTGAGCACCCAGTGCCTCGCCAACACAGCCAGGCACACGCCCATGACACCTGTCAACACCCTTAGGGCCAAACTACCTCATTCTCGTTAAAACTGAAAAAAAAAACAACAGAAACCAAAACAAAACCAGAGCCGCAATTCGGAACTCCCTCTTCAGGGCTCAGTGCTGAAGGCCCAGCCTCAAGCCGCAGTGCAGCCACACCTTCTTGTGCAAAACCAACAAAGACACACACGTCACTCCCTTGGGGAACTGTGCTCTTGTGTAAAGATGCCAGTTTGCAAACCGGTACCTCCAAAGGGCAGAGAAGGCTCGATTTGTTTGAAGCTTTTCTTTTTTAACTTTCCATTAATGTTATTACTTGAGGACAGAGTAGAAAGCAAGTTAACAGACGTCACTCAATAAGTGGGTGGATGTTTTCTGTGCCAATAAACCTTATTTCTGATGCACCAAAGTGCTTTTAGGATTTCTAACAGCACAGTTAGAATCTGTGCTTGTGGTCATCTCCTGCACATGACCGGACATGACATCTGCTTCTCTGGGCCTCGGTTTCCCCAACCGTGAAAGTAAGAGAACACTCTGGCTCTCCAAATGTTCTGGTCGAGACTCTTCTAATTCAAAAGTTCCCAGAAATTTTCCTTTGGGAATCATCAAGAAATCGTCAATGACTATCAGTCAGTGAAGAAGAAGTAACAGACGAATGTTTCCCCACAGCCACTGTTATCCATAAGACACCTCAACGCTCCCAGGACACGCCACTGTCACATGAGTTGAGCACATGAAGACGTGGCCAGTCTGGTAAGAGGCGTGTGAACTGAGCTAAGCTTCAAGTCAGCTGTTACATGTCAAGACAGATTTTCTGAAGGCTCTGGCCTATGTGAAAGGTCATACATGCACACGAACACGCATGCAGGGAGCGTGACAGATCCATAGGCACCACGGGGAGGGACGTGGCCTGGGGGGCTTCTGAGGGAGAGTGGGGGGAGGCACAAGGAGGCGCTGCTCCCTCCGAGAGCTGACCTGAAAGGGCGGCCACAGCACAGGTGCCAAGTCCAATACGGGCCCTTGGAGTCTTCCTGCTCCATGTCTGAAACTGACCACCTCTGCAGCATTCACAAATCTTTAACCTCAAAACCAGCCTGACCTTGCTGACTTCCAGCTGACGCCTTTATGATATGAATTAGGGCTTACCATATTTCCCTTGGAATTTTTTTCCAACAAATGAGATATTTAGCTGCAAAAAAAACCTTTGTGAAAGCCTTATGGGAGATGGTCGTTGGTGGAAAATACAGAACTCGGATTTTGTTCCTGTTTATTCTCCAAAGAACCTCAGAACACGAGCAATGGTAGCTGACACTTCTCTTAGGACAGAAGAGAAAGATAAGCCTTCTCTGAACAACAGACACTTAAACATGTGTAAATGCCGCATTCTCTCCTGCTAGTATGACTGCAGTCTACGTTCCTCCCACCCACTGGCCCCCAATCTGGACTGTTATAGAAGCTTCCTGGTTGCTATGACAATGGCGACAGAGAGCCAGCTGGTGGACTGGAGCCAACATGAATAAGCCACTCAGACATGGAGGGTTGTGAGCCGCAGCCAGCACGCTGGCCTGGGCCACACCATCTGCCCGGGTCCTTACCGTGGGGACCCTGCCTGGACCAAGAGGGCCAAGAGTGAAGAGTTAGCCCGAGTCTCTGCTCGGCACCCATAGCAGAGCGGGGGTGGATGCCCCAGCTCTCAGGGGTTGTTTCTTCTCAACCACACTCAGAACAAAGTATTGTTTCTCCACGTCGGTTACTTATGTCAAAGGCTGGAGGTGCTTCCCTTCCCAACTGCATGTATGGGCCTTTCTGTCTCTCTCAGGGGAAAAGCATTTTCTTTTTTCTAGTAGGTGGAGACATTCACATGAGCAGGCAGAGCTATCCCTGGTATACAGCAGGTGCTGAATGATTTGTTGAATGAATAAATGACGACAAGGTAAAAGGAGAGTAGACTCTGGTTTCATTCTAAGAACCAAATAAGTAATCATTTCACGACTCCTCCCATTAACCACATCTCTGAAGTGTACACGAACCATACCCGTCCGTCGGCAGATTGGATGCAGACAGCAAATTTGGTACCCAACGCCATCTCTGAGCACCTAATTTACTAATAGAAGTAAAGGCAACACTTAGGAAATAGTCACATAAACAGCACTGAAACAGCAAACCCTGATTTCCAATTATAGGGATCACGCAGAGAATAAGTCGTGGTTCCGGAGCACCACTGGTAACGACGCCCGTGCATGCCCTCAGCGAACACGCCAGGAAACCCGACCCGCAGGCAGCCGGTCGCAGCTGGGCCCGGAGAGGGCAGAGCCTCGTGCGGACGCCCAGGCCTCCTTGGAGGGGCCACAGGGGGCTCTCAGTGCCACCACCAGATTCAGCCCTGATACAGAAGCTCCCACCCCGTCTGGAAGGCTCGCTGCCCTTGAGGGCCCTCTGTACCCCGAGAGGATGTCGGGGGTCTTCAGACCCTGGGCACCCTAGGAGTGGCTCTGGCGACAGCCCTCACCCATGTCACCTGCGAGGGGTCTGACCTTGTTTGCTGCCTCCAGCAGCTGCAGAGTCCGTGTGCTCTCAACAAGCGGTGGAGGGAAGGATGGAGGAACGAACAGAGCGGCCTCAGAGGGCAGGGGAGGGTGCAGGGCTCTGACACGGCCCCGTTCTTCTAGCTGCGAGCCGGCCAACGCCAACAGAAGGCCTTGGGGTGCCTTCACTCCTTCCTCCAGACGGTCAGGGTCTACCACGTCACACAGCTGTGGAACTTCGTTCTTTCCTACTTAAGAATGCGGTTTTCAACTCGACTACAGGTCAACCTGGCTAAATAACACATGAACAGGTCCTAAGCCTGGGACACTAGTCCCATAAAAGCAACCCCTCCCCAGCCCCGTGGCCTTGCGTACAGAAGCATAAGAGGTAGACTTAGCTCCTGAGGCCCCACAGACACAGGGGCCTCTGACTCACTCTGATTTACACACCTCAACGGATCCACTGATTCTGGCAGCCAGTACAGCCTACTGTAACAATATGAAAGGATCAATTTCATGGTTAAAATATTCTGACCCCTTGAACGTATTTTCGACTGCCTTGCTACTTCAGCAATTGATGTTAACAGAACAAAACTCCACAAACCAGATGGGACTGGATTTCTAAATTGTATAAACAACCTCCTCCACTGCATCCTGATTAAGAAGTCTGGAAGACGTGCTGAGCAGCCTGGACCCCCAGGGCATCGTCCCACCATGGCAGCGACTGCTCCTGGGAGGAACAGTACTACATATACTTTGGATTGCCTCCAGTTTCCAAAAAGCATAGTAACACGGTACAAGATAAAAGACAAGCATAAAATAAGGCTGTTAAAATGCAAATTAAAAGTTCGAAATACGGTAAAAGGAAGGAAAGTGACATCTCTCCAACCCCAACATGAGTGATGCAGTGATCAGTTGGCTCCAAGCTTCCTGGTAGCTGAGAGACAAATGGAAACACAGCGGAACACATAACTCTCATCCTTCATTTAAAAATGAAACACACACTCCTCCAGGAGGAAGCTGCACTGCTGAAGCCTCACACGGGAGACATGGAGTGAAGGCTGGGGCGAGTCTGCGTGGCGATTCCACAAAAGATGCCGAGACATGCTCGTGAGGCTACTTCTCATTCTGT